AGAAGTGACCCTCCTTGTAACTAACTTCTTAACTAGAGAAGAAACCATTTCTCCATGTGCCTCTCTGTCGTCCTTCAACAAAAAACTTGAGAAGAACTTTACTATTAAATTAAATGACTCCATTTAATTAAAAATTTTTTCTTTGAGTCACATCTCTTTAGCCACAAGACTTCCATTTTATGACCCAGTTAATTTAAGAAGCCCCTTCTATTGTCTCAGAAGTGCCTTAGAATCTCTAGTAGCACAGATTGGGTTTTCTTCCTCTGATTATATTGCTTTATACCTTATATCTTTAATGTATTTCTCACTGCAACATTTCAAAAATGATTTCAGTGAACTTTGAGTGATGACTTTGGTTATTGAATTAGGGTGGAATTACTAATGGGAGAAAGAATTGGTGGGCTAAAAAATAGTAATGGTATTAATAATAATAATAATAATAATAATACAAAAAGAAGAGGAAGAAGGAGGGAGTAGAGGAGGAGAAGGTTGGAGGAAGAGGAGAAAAACAACTTTCTTAGGTATTTAATATTTTCCAGGTACAATTCTAGGTTCTTAGGTTGATTCAAGTACTTGTATCAAAAAGGATGATACTTCACTGGGATTAGAGATGAGCTGAGGCAAAAATTAGGAGAACTGAGATGTTTGGGAGGATGGGCAGAGATGAATTGTGGTGAACCAGAGGAAAAATAGGAAATCAGAAGTAAGGAGTTGAAATCTGAAAAGAAGTTATGGGGGTTTGGGGTTGGTATATGGAGTCCAGAGTATATGGAGTAGCTGATTTAAACTTCTGGGTGTCTTTTGTTAGGTGGGGGTGATTTGGAGGACAAGGATAGAAGAAGAGGTGCAATGGGGTTGTCCTCAGTGATAGTAAAGCTGCAGAATTTGCAGGTTAACAAGAACTAAGATGCAGAGGTAGGATGAGGTCGGAAGCAAGAATTGGGCAACTGGAAGTAGACTTTAAGAGAGTGTGGGCAAGGCGAATGTCACCACTGGAAAGCAAATTCAGAATATGAGACTGCCCTGAGAAGAGTTGAGCAGGTATCACAGAAGTGCATCAGCTGGCCCTAGAACGGATGGAACCGGGTGAGGCTGAGCTATATTTGTTCCTAAGCCATGATAGAGTTGAGCTGTGGTTGCCAGGTGAGCAGCAGAGTAGGCTGGTGATCAGACAGGGAGACAACTTATACCCAGAGGTGGGCTTGATTTATTTACTTGACCCCTTGCCACTTGTAAATAAAATAGACCAGTTTTTGGTGTGTATGAAGTAAGTGAGCAATAATTATTAGTGAGTTGATCTGACTCTTATTTTCTTAAACTGAGAGCATGAGAACTGCCTTTGCAACGACGTGCATCAGCCACAGGGAGCTCTGCAACCCAAGTCCCTCACTTTGCTGCTCAATGTGCTTTGTTTGATGTACAGGGAGATTTAGTAAGTCAGACTGGCAAGCTCTCCAGAAAAGCCTGTGGAGTTCAGTGCTGACACTGCATTTAATGCCACCATTTAAGCCATTTCACTAAGTATGAAGGCCCATTCATTTACTGTAACGTGTACTTTCCAAACCCTTTGTGAGACATTCTGTTGAGATTTCTTATTCTCCTAGGTGTTGGTATAAAGTGTCTGTTTTGGAGTAAATCCAAAATTTCAGTAAGTGGAAGGCACTTGATAGCTGGCCTTTACCATTGTGGCTCTACTACCTTTACAAAGTGAAGTGTTATTTGAAACATCATGACTTAATATGTATATTATTTTAATGTTCCCTTGGAGTTATTTTTGTTGCTTATTTTAAAAATATTGGCTCTATGACTGGTAACACCATCTTAAATGACCAACGTTGTCAGCATATTTATCAGTTTTAAGAAGAAGTTTGCCCTTTGAAAATGTGCTGAGAATACACCACTTGGGAAAGATGTTCTTTGCAAGAAAATCACAACAAATGCAGGACCTTCTTATTACATGGTTTGCTCCTTAAGGCCCATACTGTATAGTTGAAATTGTACCAGACTCTTAATGGACTGGAGAGAGGTAGATAAAATTGGGGAAATGTGGAGGAGAGGGAAACTGTTTTCTAAGCAGTTTCCGCTGGCTGCTCTCAGCCTAGAATGAAACAACTATTGCTTTAACAACAATTTTTCTGATCGGACGTATCATTTTTGACAGCAGAAAAATGTCAAAACCGTACATCAGATTGGCCCATACTGGGAAAGGAAGAATGTATGTAACTGCTCAGGTGGCTTCTGGAATAAGGTTCTAATTTTCTACTGCCACGGTTTTTGCCCAGTGGTATTGAAAATTATTGGCAAACAGTGTTTTGGTGATAAACTTGACTTTTGACAGTTCTGTTGCTTCTCTTGAAAAAAAGAAATCAGAAGAACTCGCTGCTTGGGCCCATCTTCTTCCATATCAGCCATCAGTAGTAGCTGGGTAGCGCAGCCTCCTTTGGCTGGCCTCCCTCACTGCTTTGCATCCTCAAGTTACCTGCCTGGCTCCTGCAGGACTTTGAACTTGGGACTCCGGGTTATATAGTCCTTTTTAAGTGGACAACTCTGACCTCTGTTCCACAGCACCAGCTTCTCACCCCATCTGTATATGGCATCCATGCATTCTTTCTGCCCAGAAGTGTCACTGACACCCAGTTTAAGACACGCTGGACATTTCCATCATTTCCTTTATTGCCTTCTCTTTCCAACTTCACCGCCACCTTCTTTGTGCTCCTGAAGTCAGTTGTCACTGAGTGTTTCTCTTTTGCTTCCACATATCAAGGCTACCAAGAGTGATTTCTTCTGTCTTGACTGTGCTTTCGTGAGGCCACCTTCCTTGCATTCGGTCTCTACGTTCACGTCCCATCCCAGGGCAGGTGCCCTCAGTCCTGGTGGACGTTGGCATCAATCCCTGGAGAAGGTTGCCTTATTTCTCCTTTCTACTCCTGTCTGTTTCCCAGCCAGGGATAAAAATAGGCTTAAGCAAATTCTGTTTGCATTTTGTCACTTTCCCTTTCAAAAAGCTGGTGTGATTTCCCATCCCTCATTACATTAAATGGAGCTTACTTTTATGTTTCCCAAGGTTTCATCACTTGCCTCTCCATATCCATTCTTACTGACTAAAGTTTGTATTTCTTGACATGGATTCATCTGCATCTCTTACACTTGCCTGCTGCTTCCCACTCCACAGGTCTTTGCATATGTGTGTCTTTCCTTCCTTTGCTAGTTCAAATGACCTCATTTACTATCCAGTTCAAATTCCACCTCTTCCTCAAAGCTCACCCTCGCCCACTCCATCATATGTTGAATATTCTTTTGCTGTGTATTCCCTCTGAACGTGCACATTGGGATCCACAGAGTGTATAGTTTAGAGCATGACACACTTGAATTTAGTTTCTGTCATATATTGACTTTGTAGCTTGAGGTCTTGCCGAGCCTCCTTTATCTGAATTGCAAAAAGGGCATTATTAATAATACTGGTCTCCTTGGATTGTTTTGATTAAATATGACAATAAATGTAAAGTGTGTGGCACTCAGTAATCAATAAGCCAATATCTTGGAGGACATCACCAGCCATACTACATGCCCGTAAAGTTGAGTTATGCACTCCCGAAAGAAAGAATCTGGTTTTGCTTATTCTTGTTCTCTGATGATTATAGAATGCCTAGCACAGATTAAACATTTAGAAATATTTGTTGAAAAATGAAGACAGCATGTGGTCATGAACAGCAGAGATTGATTATTGTGATTATTATTGTTATTATTTTGCAAATCTTTGACATTACACCGTGAGCAGAAATAAGTACAGTAGTAACAGAGTACACATCCCAGCTGTTGTATTCATCCGGCAGTGTGTCTTTAGGGTGACTGCAGGCTCTTGAGGACTTTCCACAGACAAGGACAGGAAGTTGGAGGGTTTTCTGTTGCTTTGTATTCTTTGGTTCTTTTTTGCCTTCCATTGGCTCCATCATCCACTTAGGGATACATTATATATTCATCAGAGTGTTATACAAATAATATGTAAATGAATACTCATGACAATTAGGGTTCTTTTTTTTTTTTTTTTAGCTTCATTTTAGCAATTTGGGTCAGAGGGAGTTCTTCATTTCTCAGCGTTCCCATTTTCTTAGTTTCCAGCTGGGAGCACCAAAGAGACAAATATAACCAATGGTAATTGGTGAGTCTTCTCCAAACTCTTTTTATTTGAAAAAATTTCTGGCGTCATTACCACCGACATTACCATCACCTTTAACATGAAAATTAAGTCTTGTTCATATAAATTTTCCCAAGAACTTGCCTTGGTGTTATCTCCTATTTCATGTGTTCACAAACCTCTTCGGCTTTGGAAAGGGATAGAGCCAGGGTAAGCAATACTGCATTCAGTATGCAAATGAAAGTTTTGTAGAAATAGGGTTATACTGGAGATGAAATTAATTGTGACAGTTCAGGAGGAGTTTTATAGAAAAGGAAGATTAACGTGTTAGGTACTCACTGGCTGTCTCCGCTGATGCATATAATGTTAGGCAAAATGAAATCTCCATGTGCCCAGCCTCAGTGGAAGAATGTTTATTTAGTCCGTAGAAATTTGAGCAGGGCATGTCTCTAAGGGTTTATGACAGCCTATTTTCTTTTCTCGGTGTGAGGATGAATTGGTCCATTATCATCTGAATTGGAAGTCATGGTGAAGGTTCTTTTTTGATTCTCTTATTTATTTATGCTTTGTTTATTTGTTAAGAAACTTGCCCAGAAAATGTGTTGCTTATTCTAAAGTAAGTTACTTTATTCTTCAGGCCGGAATAGACTATAACATTGTACTTTCAAATATAAAAGGGAAATAGTTTAGAGACCAGACCTAGCTTAATTTGGTTCTTTGATTCTTTGTCAAGAGCTAAGTAATACAACCTTTTATTGCCAAAAAGCCACATTTTCAAACTGGATTTCCTTTTGAATGAGTTTTGCAATGGTAATACAGAAAAGCTATTTTTACATATTCACATTTTTTTTTCTTTTCCTCCAAGGAAACCAACATGTCTGACAAAAGTGACTTAAAAGCTGAGCTGGAGCGCAAAAAGCAACGCTTAGCACAGATAAGAGAAGAGAAGAAACGGAAGGAAGAGGAGAGGAAAAAGAAAGAGGTAAATAATGGGTGTTGGGGTGTTGTGGGGAAAAGAAAATCGTTTGGTTCTGAAGGCTGGTCAACTAGATAAAGAGGACCCTTTTAAAGAATCCTTTTATAGTACCTCAATAAAATGAGTGAATATATACACACTCAGAGTAATGAAGTTTTGCCATCGCTATTTGCTGGTCAGGCACCACCTAAATGGTAGATAGCATTTGTTCTGGAGGTCCCCAAGCCCCATGTTCACCCCCAAGTTAAATAGAACTCTGAAAGTGGCCTATATTATCTCAGTTGTTAGAAAATCCTTAACCTTTTGTATCTCGGTTTCCTATTCTTAATATGGGAAAGTAATATATTTATTTTGTGGGGGTATGAAGAATTTAAAAAGAGTTAATTTTTTACAGCACTTAGTAGTACCTAGGCTATACATAGTGCTTAGTGAGTATTAGTTTTAATAAAAAGTTTTTCAAAAACTACTAGCCAGAACATTTTAGGAGAAAAATAGAAAATGATGCCAATGAATTTCCATGTTTTCCTAAGTAGTATGGATCTTTGGGGATAATTAAGAATCCTAGGTAATATATAACTAGTACCCTAGATAATCCTAAGTAGTATATATTTTGGGGGGTAATTAAGAATCTTGTAAAGTGAAAGCTGCATTTCCCTCCTTTGTAAGAGGGTAGAGAGTATAATAAACTCTGCTCCATGGACATAGAATTATGAGATATTAAATTGAGAGAAAAGATTTTAGAGACCTTTCTTTGAAACCCCTTTCTATGCCAGCAAAGCAACAGAAACCTGAAGGTGAAAAGTAGCTGTTCTGCCTGGTCAGACCCAGGATCCAGGACTTTTGGTTCCCAGTTCAATGCCTTGCTGTCACATCATGTTTTCTTCTACTACTTCACTCCAACAAATATTTATTTTTAATTCTCCAGTTTGTTGTGGCATTATAGAAATAGCCCCCATCTTGTACAAAAACAGGACACCAAAGATATTTTTGATTAGTTTTATAAGAAGGAAACTTTGTATAGTGTTATCACACAAGTGTGATATGCTTGTGTGTATAGAAACCAGAGCTTCTTCCCTACTTAGAGTTTTCTTTAAGGAAAAAGGGAATGTATTTTAATGCCTTGCAATCTAAATAAGTGTTGGTTCAGATGATAAGGCCAGGAGACCAAGGTAACATGTAACAATTATTTTCCAACAAAGTAAAACATAATTGCAGTTGCATTTTAGCTTCCTGGCATCTCACATCTCTCCATTCTATTACGCTTTGATTGATGCTGTAGTTTATTTGTCCTTGACAGTGTGCATAATGTTTTTCCCTGGAAGATCTTTGCTGTTATATATGCAGTCTTTGAGTGAAGTAGAGGTGAGAATTGACAAGGAATGGCTATTCATTTCCATGTGAAGCCAAAAAAAGCATTCAGTCATTATGCTTCCTTTCCTTCAAATGTCAACACTTACTGTAGTTTTAAAGCACCTGTTATCCTTTACTAATAACTGGTTTCCTTTTAAACTGACAGTCTAATATCCAACTTGAGTTTCATGGAATTACCACAAAATGTGATGTGATATGGGAAATCTGGTTCCAAATTATGCTGTCTGCTTTGTGTTTGTCATTTTACACATTTGGGGGGAAATTACAGGCAAACATGACTGATTGAAACAGGCCACCCTTTTTGTTTCTACACCAGGCAGCTTTGCCTGATGGAGATTTGGCTTGTTACATGACAGGCAGAGAGCCCTGGGAGATCAGAGGTGACAGGTGGTGGGGAATGTAGTACACCTGGGCTCTAGACATCCCCGGGCCTCTACCCAGTTCTGGGGTTAAAGTCACATTGTCTTAGTTTCCTCATTTCTAAACTGACAGGGCGGCTCAAGCCTGTGATATGCTGACCTTGGTCCCTGGACTCCCATGACAGTAGAGTCCTAGTCTCCCATATCAAGAGTTTTTTATTTAAAAGACCTAAATGGGGCCAGATTGTGGAATCTACTGGGCTATACCATCTGTAAAGTCTGTCCTGTCCCTTTTTGAATCCTGTCCCTCAGCAACCATCTCCCAACAGAAGGTCTTCCCTCTGTTCAATACAAGCACCTTTTGTAGACTGTGATGACTTGGTTCATCTGAGCAGCCAGTGCTGTAAGGCAGAAGGCAGGTATGCACAGAGGTTATGCACAGGGGCTTTCTAGTTGAACGTGGCTGGGAAATCTGGCTCCGCCCTTCACAGAATAACCTTGAACAAGGATGGGACCCCTCTGAACCTGTTTTCCCTTCTGTAAAATGGAGAAAGGTGGTGCCTTCCTCAGTGAGTTCTGTGACAATCCAAGGAGATACAGTTAGAGCAATGAAAGGCACAGAGGAACTGATCAGTGAGAAATAGCTGTTGCTCTGCTCCTGAGATTGGCTACCAGAGTAGGAGAAGGCAGCGCTGGAGAACAGCTGCATGTATTTGTCAGGATCAGTGCTCGTGAGGTCATTTTCCAAAGTGCCCCATTATTTGAAGGGTCTTACAATTCCAGGCCCTTCTCTTCCTGGGATTTTATGGCATTTTGTAGCTGAAAGAAGCCTGGAAGTCATCTATCTGATCCTTCTTTTTCAAATGAGGAAGTGTAAGCCTTCAAGCCGGTTCCCCTTTATCTCCCCCTTCCAGCCACTTGTCCAAATCAGAAACCTGGGGTCATTCTTTCAATACCCCCTCCCCAGCTTAGAGTGCTCCTCACATCCTGGGTAGACACAACCCTCTACTCGCCCACTTCCTCTCTCCCTACGTCCACATTCCAGTCAGACTCATCTACTCACACATCAGCCATGGGCCACCCTCTCTCTTGACAGGAAGTCTGTGCACATTCTCCTGCTCTGCCTTGACTGTTCTGCTTCTCGCTGTCTTCCTTCACCTAACTGTTAGCCACATGTGTCTCGGTTCTCATGTCTAATATCACTTCTAGAAAGCCTTCTTTGATAACTTTCTCTACCCGTGACTTGGTTAATCTGCATCCCTCCTTGATGCCCTTATCAAACCATAGCACAGAGCATTATCCTTGCCTCTTCACTGTCTTTCTCTCCTAAGAGAGTTCAAGTTTTTGAGGACATAGCTGGATATTTTTCATCAAGTCAGTGTCTACAAGAGGCCCTCAAAAAGGGAATATTAAATGAATGAATGAATGAATGAATGAGTGAATGAGTGAATACAGGCTAGTTAGAGAAGGTCTGAGATGCTGGCCAAGACATCCTTTTCACACATCTGGAATTCTTTTTCTGCAAATTTCCTTGGAAGATGCTGATCCTGAGTCTATGGGATGCTCCAATCAACTGGCCACTTTAATTGGCAGCTGAGTTTAAGATTTTCTAGATTTTGTGCTGTTGGTAGAGAGTTAGAAATAGCCTTAAATTTATAGGTTTGATTTTAACTTTATTTAGGCTTATGTTTTAAATAAAACAAATTTAGAATAAAAAAGAAACAACATGCTCTGCAATGCTAATTGGAGCGACTGTTTTTTCCCCCCTGACTGAAAACTTGTGAATTAGGACCACCCAGATTGATTGTCTGCGCAGAATCCAGAAAACCATGTACATTCTATAAAATTACCACTCTCAGCTCTTTTGGATGTCAACTGCTTCATGGCTGTGGTATTATGGATGAAATCTGATTTTAAAATAAATAGAGTGGTCACCATTTGAGACTCAGACCCAATTTCATGAAAAATTGGCTTTTATGTGATGAGGTATGCTTAATGGGGCCACCCTGAGGTTTTGTCCTGTCCTTGGCCATCTGCCGAACTGCTGCAAGGCAGGCTAGACAGAGGTTTCCTGGCCTGTCCTTCCTCGTTCCTCTAATAACTGTGGAGCTCTCTTGGAAAAGTGGGTGACAATTCTCAGCTGACCAATTTGCTTTCTTTGATTATCCTCTCAGGATCTCCGATGTGATTAATCTTAACAAACAGAAAAATCGTTTGCTGGGAAAGACACCTAGCACATTCTTAATAACTAGTACTGTGAAATAACTCCTTATTGAGCCATTAAAATGTATTAGGATTCAGTAGTAATTACATGGGAAAAATCACTTTTCCAAAGTGTACTTGGTTTAACTGTCTTGGGTAAAGTAACCCACTGTTTAGTTTAAGATCCTAGTTGGTAGCAGATAGGAACTGTCTTTATTTCCACTAAGCCCCACTTAACCTAATTTATCTGCAGTTTTCATGATCAACTTTGAGCATTCATAAATTTTCTAAGCTGCTGTTACATCTAGATGAACATTTATCCTTATGAATATATGTCATCATATTGCCTGTTTCCTTAAGAATTAGAAAAGGTAGAAAGCAGAGAATGAGTTGTAGACATACCCTGTACTGTGGTGCTGAAATCCTGGCAGTGGAGTTTGGGTGTACTGTTCCTGCACAGTGTGTGGTTATGCATACTGACATGTTATTTACCCTCTAGTATATTTCTTGAATACCTAATGAGTGAAGTAAGAATAAATTAAAAAAAAAATCTCTGTGCCTTTCTGCATAGGACATACATGACAGAAAGTTACAGATAATATGCCTTAAGGTTATTGGAAAGGAAAAGATTAGGCAGGTCTTCTGTTCACTCTGCTTAAGCTCCATTAGAACTTCTTGGTTTCATTACCACTGGCAGTTGGTTGTCTTTTCAGTAAGTTTTGTTGAAAAATGAGGAAAGGTTAAAGATTCTTTTTTGTTGCTAGAAAATAGAAATGACATTGTTATGGACAATGTGTCACTGGTACTTCAGATTACTCCTTCTAACAGTAGTGTTGTAAAGGGACTTCCTGAATGGGGCACAGTTGGTGGAAATCAGCCTGAATGATGTATAATTCTGAGATTCTATAGCTATAGAATAACACTTAACTAAGGCCAATATTCATTCATTCAACACATTTTTTACTGAGCATCTACTATGGGTGAGGCTGTGATCTAGATGTGAGGATAGAGTAGGGAAAAAAATAAACATATATCTATCTGCTTAGTAAAGCAGACAGTTCAGTTATGGCTTAACTCTTCACTGTAAAACCGTGTTATTCTACATGAGCTTCCTAAAACTAATTTTGCTTATCTTAGTTTTTTCATTTGTATTTTAGTAGCTGCTCTGATAATTCCCTTTTCTTTCATTTTTTGCTTTATCCTCCCCACCCTTCTTTTAAATTAACTTTTTCCTCTCCCCCTCTTCTTTTAACTTTATGGTAAATGACTGTTGATATAGAAATTGAAAAAAGTGTAAGAATATGTTAGAAGTAAAGTAAATAATAAAAATTTATTTTGGTAAAACAAACAAATAAATTGCATACATATAAAAATATAAGTAAATGTTAAAATTGGAAAAGAATGTGAACTTTGATTCTGCTGCTGAGATTAAACTACCATTTCACAATTTTGGGTTATATGAGAGTACCTGAAATCCACTAGTACTCATTAGCTCTTATTGACCAACACTGTGCAGTTTTCCCTCTAATGACAGATAGACTTCAAAAATCTGAGAGCATGTTAAACCAGGGACAGTAGTGACGGAAGAGGTAAACCCTGATCAATGCCAGAGATATGTTTGCGACTAATAGCGGCTAGTTATCATCTGGGATTAAGTCAGAAGTGGCATGAACTTACTGCCACTTATGAATATATGTCATCATATTGCCTGTTTCCTTAAGAATTAGAAAAGGTAGAAAGACATACATTATGCTTCACTGCTTTGAAATGTGCTCGAGATCCTGAGGGAGGTAATGTGCCTGTTAGGGTGCCCAGCCTGCCCCTGGGGAGGAAGGTGTATCTGATAACTGGGTTTAGACAAGCTTTAAGATAACTCCACTCCTGTAAACTCACGAAACTTTGTTGTGAGGTAGCTGCACATCAAATAGGATGTTACCATGTTTCAGATGTGGGCAAATGCCTCGTCTTAAGTACTTTGTTATTCAACAGAAGAGACCTGAACCTTTAAATCCTCCACAACCCCACCACTGACCTTTAACTTGTATTTTGACTTGTCACTGGCCTGTAAAAGACACAAACAGTGTAGAATCTGACTATGAGAGTTCACACAGGATGTGTCTTTTTGACAGAATTGGGAAAAAGAACTTCTGCTAAATGATTTTTTTGTTCTGTATTTTTCTACACGATACTTTTCTCCTTTGAGTTAATATGTCTAAGGGAAGCCTATGAAAATCAGAATTAAGTAACAATACTTACATCAATATTGCTGATGTGCCTTAATAAACACTTTAGTATGGTTTATTTTAAACCATGGTAAACTTAGATTGCTGACACAAATAGTGCATTTTATATTACAGATTTTTATAACTAATTTTATTTTTTAGCCAGATGACAATAATTCCTTGTTTGCATAGCCCCAAACATGAGACGTGAATATTATAAACACACACTCACTAAGAACTGACAGTATGTCTTCTAAGAATGGACAAGGAGGTCTAAAAAAGCAGACAAAATTTTTTAAAAAATCCATGCCCCAGTCAGAAATATTTTGCTGTGATGGTTTCTTGCAAACCAAGTGAGAGAAATGTTTAGACCATGTGATTGAGGCAGGAAAAAGCCTTCAACTGAAAGAGAAAGCACTAGGTTAGCAATTATTAAATGGAGCAGTTATAGTGTGTTTTCATCCTTCATACACATTAGTATGTCTGTTTAGGGCTTTTGCCTGTCTTGACTGCCAGGCATTTGCCGTTTCGGCCAGGAATTACATTTGCCATGCATTACCAGTTAAGACAGGGAGAGCCTACATTTAGTTCTGTTACTAACTTTTCTTACTGGCATCTCCTTTTCTAGGCTGATATGCAGCAGAAGAAAGAACCTGTACAGGATGATTCTGACTTGGATCGCAAACGCCGAGAGACGGAGGCCCTGCTGCAAAGCATTGGTATATCGCCTGAGCCCCCTCTAGGTACTTAAAACACTTCATGTTATGTATGATTTTCTTAAATGTGGCTTCTGTGGGATATACCATGCCATGTCCAGATTTTACTATTCTTTTATGTCTTCTTTAATTTTGTTTTTTAAAAGAAATTCTGTGGCTAATGGTTCATTTGTATTTATTTCTGGAATTGAGGGGGCTGGAAGGAGATGGGAGGACAGGTTGTAGAACTGCTAGCAATTCAAAGCTTATTGATTGCTTATATGGTCAACCTTCTCCACTGTGCTACTATCAGATCATTTTATACTTGTTGAATGAACTGCCACATGGGAAATACAAGAAATGTTAGAATTTTCCTCTTAAATTGTTCTTCATTTCCATTGTTGAATCCCAGCCTCTCTCTGCCAACCTAAATACTGTGAATCTGCTTATGAATTTCATAACGACCACAGACGTGGAGTTATTCCATGATGAAAATAGAATACTCAGTGGGAAATTTGAAGGCAAACCTAAAATGGTGACAGATTAGCAGCTAATTAACAAATATAAGTTTACTTGACTCTATTGTATATTTTGGTTCCACTGCTAATTGGCATTTTTACTGCAATACCCCCCCTCCAATTCATTCATTCCTGGTTAATTGTCCATGATCTCGTTTTATCACTAGGGTTTGGGCTATTTGTTTTCTTTGTGTTGAAGGTAATCTACACTTGTGTTTATTCTGTCACTTAACTATGTAACTCTCTTGGGATAAATTATTTTATTTTTCTTTATCTGTTTGCTTTCCATACATTTCAGAGTGATCCCAGGGTGTCTATAAAACTATGTGCTGTCCAATATAGTAAAAAAACTTTAAAAATAATACATCTAAATAAATACAACATCAGGTCTCCTCTTAAAGGTGGAGTTTTCTTTTAACTCCATCATTGGCTTTTATATTAAAATAAAATTTCATTTATTTCCATAGTTACTTATACTAAGAATAAAAATTATTCCATGTATAGCATAATGATACAGGTTTATATTAATATAAATAAGAAAAAGGCAATAAATAATAAGCCTCTAAATGATTAAGTATTGCTGGACATAATCTACTGCATAGACACAAAACTGAAACACTATGAAAAAAGCATTTTGTATGCCTACTCAATTTATAGTAGGTAAATCATATGTCTAACAATGATATAATAAGCCCCAACACAATTATGATTACTTTGTTTAACTTCTTTATGGTATGGAAGACATAATGTGTGACATTTGACCAATGGACCTTTGAGGAGCTAACGGTATTTTTTCTACTCAGTTGACATATGAAATAAATTAGACTTTGAAATCAATTTTTTTTTGCCTCAAAAGAGCCTTTGAAATTATTTTGCAATATGAGTACTAGTTAAACACCATGTCCTTTTCTTTCCTACCTTACATAAAGCCAGCAATTAAACTTTAAGGGAAAAACAGTTAAATATCCCCACACTGTGACCAAATTCTGAACTATCCCTATGTCCCTGCCAAAGGTCCTGGCATGGGTGGACTCAATTTTCAATTTTCATCCATCTCTATGACTTACCCTCTGACTTATTGCAGAGTGTAATCAGTGAATTAATTGTGGGACCACATGAAAACTCCTAGTTTCTTGACAGATGTGCCATTGTGTTATAGGATTTGGACAAAGTAGTTAAACCCTTTACTCTATTAAATAAATAGAAGGAAATTGCACATGATTGAAACCAAATGGGAATCTACACTTACATATTGAAGTTTCTTGCTGCCCATATGGCTTCTTTGGCATATGTGATACTGAAACCCTGTTGAATTCCTCTGGCCTGGAGCCATCTTGGCCTTTCGCTGCAGCTTCTATCTGAAGGACATTTGGCTTGTATCTGCAGGATAGAGAAAAAAATACATTTGCATTTCCTTTAGCTTTTTTCTTTTTTTATTCTTTCTCTCAGATTTTTAACTCTCACTGACCCCTCAGTCTTTGAATTTACTTTGGTGTCTTGAGAATGGCAGTTTACTCATGTGCCATGGTGGTGTCTTCTAGGGCCGCCGCAGGCAAAGGAAAACAATCCCAAACACAGCAGAAAGTACAGTGGGATGAAGCTATTAATTAAATGTAAAAATAAAGCAGCCTGGCATTTTACTTTGTTTTGAAGACGTTTTTAAATTACCAGGTTCAACATTTACCCTTTCTCTGTCATGTCGTCTCTCCTAGCAAATGCAATTTTTACTCCAGGGACAAAAGATTTCCCGTGGAGTGCAGACATACAACAGACCTTTCTGATTCTCCTCCACCATTTAAAATGATCCAGAATAACTTACTTCACAGTCTTTTAAAGTTTTATAGACACCCCATTTTATTTTTTAATAGGTCACATCTATACTAACAAAATAAAGTGGAGAATTGGAATTATCTGGATCATTTATCTTAGAAGTATTTGACTTGAATCATCTGGATAGCTATTTTGATTCTCCGTTTCACTTTGTTAGGGTGGACATGGCCTCAGAATCCCTTAGTTAACTCTGTCTAAATTCATTTCAAATTTTAATTTCCAAAGTATGAAAAATTCACTTGACTTTCTTCCTTTTCTTTCCTTTTTTTTTCTAAATCCTTTTCCCATCTTAATCTCTCCTGGCCATATAACCACTTTAATTTGGGCGCATTTGTTTTGGTTTGTCTGACACTGCTCTGCCCCAGTGCAGTCGCTGCATTTTTTAACATGGGATACCTGTTATTTTCATTATTTAGTCCCAACCCCTATGTCTCCCTCCTCGAAATCAGTGAGCACTCCCAGTGAAGCTGGAAGCCAAGACTCAGGCGACCTGGGACCATTAACAAGGTAAGAATTGTCTCTTTACAAAGGCCATGGTGAGATACCTGAGTCACTGATACAAAAAACAAAGGCCTAAAAGCCATACCCAGTACTGGACACTGCTCTATGTGTGCGCATCTGCATATATGCTTGGTCATTTTATGTTTATGCTTATGGTGGCTTGCTATATTAGTGGCAAAGCAATAATTTTAAGAACTAGAAATGATAGACTTCTATGGTATCCTTCCTTGAGTAGGCTGATTTAGCACTGCGTGTCACAGACACAATCATATCCATGAGACTAGGCCTAGAAGAAAGACAACTGGAAATATATATACATATCTGGCTTCTCATTACTGTACTTTGGTTTTGGTTTCCATGAGAATCTTTGTGAATAGGATGCTGAGATCTTCTCATCCTAAATTTAGTTTTTTAAGCATTTTATTTGCTCAACAGTTGACTAATTTGAAAACTCAGTCTCCAAAGTGTTTTTTAGTTACTATTATGATCATTAGTTTTCTATTCTGTTTAGTGAGTCAGTTGCCAAATTAGTATTACACTTTGTATACTCAAAGATTATGTAACTTTGGAAAGCAGATATAGGCATTCTCTAATTTAAACCCTGAAGGAGTGTCCAAAAGGTAAAGATGTGAAGAGCGAAAGGAGAAGTTTTGTTCATAGGCATGGAGTCCTGGTAACTTTCTTAACCTAGTTGGCTTCACCAGGCAGTATTCCCACATGCAGGTACCCTAGGCAGGTGGTATAAATGAGTGGAGAGTGGGGAGCCTGTGGCAATTGGTTAGCAAACACCCCATTTATAAAGACCAGATGGTCTCCTCACAGCTCAGGCTGCTTGTGCTCATGTGTTTGAGGTCAACTTTCAATTTTTCATGGGAACCTAAACGTTCATATATCTATGCAACCATCTCCTAAATGTTAAATGGTAATGACTTTGTTAAAAGTAGTGAGGGCCAGATTTGGCTTTGGGATCTGCAATTTGTGACCTCTGTCTTTGACACTTAATTTAAAAAGAATCATAGGATACTTTAACAAAGCTTCAAGTTAAATAAACAATCATTCATCGTACTGCTGTTCTAACCAACAGGATGTCACTTTCCATCCTGTCTACCTGTGGTCTTTTTTTGCTGCCATATATGGTACCTGGGAGAGGCATAGGATTTTGAATTTGCCTTTTTTCACTTAAACACATTATCATAAACATTACCTTCTAAAAGTACACTATTTCCATATATGCCTAGACAATTTTGGTAGAGAAAAATATGGAAATGATATTAGTCCAGTATTAGCCTGAACTATAAGGTTTTTTTATTTTCAGTTTTTGCTTTCTGAATCAACATGTAAGACTGAAATTATTTCACCCCTATCTGCCTGTTGGTGTGTTTCAAACTTAAGTATTTTGTTTTAACCAGCCCTTTTGAAACCAGGAGACACTGCTTTCAATTTGAGAAAAAGGAAAGTGGAGGTTGTTGTGGGCACCAGGCTGGTTTATTTTAGCAAACCACCTTTGTGATTTGGGGTAACACGTGTCATCTCTCATCTTTTGCTTTGAACACTTCAAAAGGTCTTTGAGGGAGAAAAGAAAAAGCCCTAATAATGACACAGTTATATAAGATCCACCATTTATCCACGAGCTGGCACAATGGAATCACATGCCTGTGGGGGCCCCACTGGCCAGTCATTAAGTCAGTGTGTCTGCCTGTTTCTGTGCAGTGACGGGGCTGTGTCAGGGATGCTTAGCTTCAAGAGGTGCAGTTGGCAGCACTACATTCTGTTAGGGACTTCACAGTCAATAGGCCCTTTTCAAAACTTTTCTAGACAAAGCTGACCTGTGCTGTTGGCACTGTGGAGATACCAATTTTTCCTTCTCAGCAAACATCATTCTTCATCTCTTCCCCACTCCTTATATGATTTTTTTTTAAAACTAAACAAATCACTTTGGAAGTGGTGCTGTCCTCTCCCACCCTACACAAACTCCAGCCAGTTTTGGTTTTTTTCTAGGAATGTCTGGTGAGAGTAGGCAACAAGAAGGCAATGAGTCAAAATCCTTGCTAAGTGCAAGTTTCATAGGAACGCAAGAAAATTGGCATTGAGGAAATCATGATTTTTCAGAAAAACTGAGCACAAAGTTTGCTTGAAAACTGGGCATTAGGAAAAGCTTAGTGAATCTTGCCCTTAATTTGGATTTGGAGAATCCACACGAATTTATTCTTTGCTTCCGTAAGTTTTGCTTTCACAAAATAGGTATGAGAGTAATTATCAGAAAAATGTTGTGTTTCAGTTTTTAAATTTCCACTTGGAATGCCTTTTTCTGTAGAAGAAACAACTTTGAAGACAATTACAACTAACTTTAATGTTTCACAAAACATGAGACTGGGGAAAGAGCTTGGTTATTCCCAAGATTATAACTCTAAAGTCATAAATGTGCCTGTTTGTGTGGAATTTGGACCCTTTGAAAAATGAAAATATTTCAGAACATAACTTAAGAATCAAATTAGCACACTCATCTGGTTCTGCCTAATGGTGAACATAAATTTTGTTATTCATTTGCCAAAATTTCAGAACAAACTAAGATTTTCTTTACAGAGCCCAAATTGTCAAACATTTCTTATAAAACCCCTGTAAGTGGTTAATTTGCAAATTGGCCTCCTTAATATACCTTATTATAAAAACAGGGCTTTATATAAATCAAGTGTAACAAAAATTCCACTTACTGATTTTTAAGATCAGTTGAGTAAATTAAAAAAAATTAGTGACTAGAAAGTAGAAATATATAGTAAATTTTCAATCATCCTAGTATGATTTAATTTTTTAACTTAAAGTATCTCAATTTGATTTGCCATGTCTGCTGCTGTTGGTATGCCCTTTTTCTCATTTATGATTAATATTTGTGCTATTTTTCTCTTTTTCTTGATCAGTTTTGGTAGAACCAATTAGTCATTACTCAGTTAATCATATTGGGCAAAGAACAGGCTCTTAGATTTGAAAATAAATCAATTTCATTAGTAAAACATTTGAAAGACTAGTTTTACTTATAAACATAGATTTAACAATATCCTAAATGTGTAACTGGAATCCAACACAATATTAAGAGGATACTCTATGCTATGATTAATTAGGATTGATTCAAAAATTCAAGGACATTTTAGTATAGGAAAATGTTAAGCATAAATAAAGTTCAAAGAGGGAAAAATAATCATTGTGGTATATCCTTAAATGGCACTTGAGAAATTGAAACATTTGTTCCCATATTTTAAAATTTAGCAAACTAGAAACAGTAATATTTTGACTCTGTATGATAAAGAATATTAATTAATATCAAAACAATAGCCTACATCTTTTAAATATGAGTGAAGCATTTAGTACTTTATAGCCCTTAAGAATGACTTATGTTTAGCTGAATATATCTCTCTTCCTTAGGAAATGACAAGTTCCTTAAGGTCAGGGAGTAAATGATATTTAACATTATATGCAGATAGTAGGTATTTGATAAATGTTTATTGAATTAATCAACTGTTATTCTAATTTTTACAGACGAGAACCCTGAGGCACAGCAAGAATAAGTCATTTTCCGAAGTTCAAACAGAAATTAGCCTGCCAGGTTTTAACCTAGGCAGGTCAATACAAATTTCTACCATCTCTACCTCTACCCTACATTGTTTCTAACAACAGTTGATCTAAGTGATACATACATGGCCTACCCTATAAGGTTATCATTAGGTTTAAATAAATTTATGTTTGTAAAGCACTTGGAAAGGAGTCTGGCATGTATTAAGTATAGGTGAGTTTTAGCTGTTATGTTTGTATTTTACACTTTCTTATTTAGTCACATCTTTCCAACAGGGATAGATCTTTTTAGATTTTCTCATAAAATATGTTGGTGTCATTTTCAAATTTGATTAGTATGCCTGTATCTTTATCCAAGTAACTATGTAAAAACGTTGCTCATAAAAAAAAAAAAATGTAGCCCAGGACAGAGTATGGTTCATGTCCCTGGAGACCACTTTCTGGGTTGCCCAAGCCTTAATCCTAAACATCCAGATATTCAACCAGAAATGAATGTAGGCTTCTCATTCTCATGGATGGCTTACAGGGACTTTACCCTAAGATGGTTCTTGTGTTTAGCTGAGATTCCCTAGGCTTCTCAGTGACCAAGTTAGAGGCTGTGCCAGCCTGCAGAAACCTAGGATAGAGTACACCTAGACATTAGGGCATAGGTAGCACACTGTCCCAAACCTGATTCAAGGATGATAACTTTTAAAATGATCTCAGAAATAAAGTGTGTTTCGATGTGGTAACATACTGTGTACTCTCCTGTCATCATAATAACGCTCCACCCATGACATCCTTAACAAATAATTCGGAGGGGACATTTCTGGTATTTGTCTTTGGGGAGAAGTGGCATGGGGGACAGTGGTAATAATAGAATTAATTTCTATCTTCTTGGCCATCTATAGTCTTAACACCATCATTAAGTTCTACTTTCCAAACAATTAGGTTGTTGAAGCCCATCACATTTTATTCTTAATAATCCCTTATAACATAAATAATATCAATGTATTTTATACAATTAGGAAATACAGGCAAACAAAAATAATTACAAAATTATATTTCTACCACCAGAGATGAGCACTCTTAACATCTAATATATATTCTTTCATACAATATATATGTCATCATATATATGATAAATAATATCACGCTATACAAATCCTTGGACTTGCTTTCCTAATCAAGTATCTCTATTTTTCCATTTCCGTACATTTTCCTCTTATCTAATATCTACACTATCTTCTGATTTCCCCAGTTGGCTCCAGCATAATCCCATTGTATTCAAATTCCATGCCGGTCCTCCTGGCTATCAGCATCTATTAACCAAAATGCTTATACCCATAGATTTTTCTGTAGTGAGGTAAGGCCCCTCCCAAGGAGACCTACATGCCTCAGAGGAAGAAATGTCTTCTGAAGCACTGAACAGAACAAAGTCAAAGAGAAATGGATTATAGGTC